TTAAATAAAAGCCTTTATAAAATTAGCTTTTGGATGTCATTTTATGTTAAAAAGTACCAATTTGACATGCAACGGCTGCAGCGTGCATTCTACCACATCTGGTTACTAATCCAGTTAAGGTTTCAGAAAGAGCTTTTTTTTAAGGGGTTGGCTTCCTTTTACCTTCTCAAATCTATGAAAAATATGACTTCTAATTGTAACTTTTCAAGATCCCCTCTGAACTCGCTCTTATATTGCCAGACAGTATTGTTCAGGGAAGCTCCATGAATTTCCAATCCCCCATTGACCATTTACTCCAGCCCCACCCCTCACAGAGGCCCCACAACTAATAGTGCATCTGCCATCTGGTGCTATATTGCCCTTGGCCTCTTTTCTCCCTCTCCCAATTTTCTGGCTGAGTCCATTAAACAGAATGTAAACATTCAAAATCCTACTTCACAGGAACAGCTTGTTTAACCAGCATTTAAAAATCAGAATTGACACTAACATTTTATACATCTCAAACAATATTCAAAGGTAAACTTTTCCTACTGAATGGATCTTGTATATTGCCTAGCCTACTACATCCACATTGTTTCACAGATCACACCATTAATTTCTCTTTTTCCAGAATCTACAAATGCACAACGCTGAAAAAGTATGCATGTACACAATTGAGATATAGCTTCTATCAAGGATTTTAATGTGTTTTCTCTTTGCATCCCAAGTCTCCCCTTGACTCCCTTTCAGCAAGACAAAAAAATGCTACGGGACTGGAATTCGTCTCACCCTAGGGATTTCACTATGATATTCAAAGTGCTTTGCTGCAAGGACACATAAGTGGTCACTCCAACAGCAAAACAGCAGAATTTTTGTTGTGGTATTTACCTCACCCAAGGATTTCCCTGAGGCATTCAAAGTGCTTTTCTACAAGAATGAGACTGGAAGCATCAGGACTCTAAAGGTATTTTAGTATTGAATCATCCTCACAGGTTTCAATTTTCTCCCCCCCCTATTACATTAATGGATTGAATGATCATAAGAAATTTTCCACTCTAACAGTATAAGGATATGAGAATAGAGCTATCCAATACACACAATTACTATTTCTAAAGTAATAAGTCATAGCATATTGCAGTTTCTAAGATAACATTCAGTTTTCAAACATTCTGGACTAGCTGAGAATATCCCACAAATTCAGAATCGTTAAAAGTACTTTTCTCCCTTCCCAAAACAATTTCTTCCCAATTCTTGCTCTTTTCTAACTTCTGAATATTGATCTAGGTCTCCACATATCATTCAGCTGCTGCTACTCACAGAATCCAGTGCAGCTTCCTCTCTAGCAAGTGAAAGCACAGTACAAGTGAATGCAATGCAATGCACATAATTACAGGGACTAAAGTAATCGAGCATATAGCATATTACAGTACTAGGTAATAAAGCCTTTTCTCAACAGTTTCAACATTAGCAGGCAGGCAACGAGTGGAGGGAGAAAAATGCCTGCTCAGTATCACGGCCGGCTTCCGATCATGAAATTATCACAAGTAAACACTGAACCAAGCACAGCTTCTGAACACCAGATAGAGGGAGCAAGGCGGAAATATTTTTGGAGGGACTCCAGAGGGTAATAGTAATAATAATCCTTGCATTTGATATTGTACCTTTTCACATCGTTGAGATATTACAAAGTGCTTCACAGGATATACTGTAAAATGGATTGACTGTATTTTGTGGGTGAAGGGTCATAATGGCTGAAGGGTCTGCCCGCGACGGTGGTGCAAAAGGGGTGAAGGATACCCTTTCCTGTGATTATGTGCATTGAACTGTACTCTGTATACTTAAGACTGTGCTTTCACTTGCTGGATTTTGCTGAGCAGAGGGGGTGGGCATGAACAGGCCATCTATTGAGGTAGGGAGGGGCAAGGGCATGTAAGGATTTGTAGGGGAATGGGGATGTTGAAATCGTTCTGCTAACAAACGGGGAGCTCGGCAAAGATGGCTGTAAGAATGCCAACATGGGATGGAAATGACTAATCAAAGCAAAGTAGCAAATTCTGATGACTTCAACTTGTGGATAGTAGTGCAGGAGAAAGTGGTACGAGCCCAATAGAGGAAGCCAGTGGGAGCACAAAATTTCAAAGAGTACGTGATCTATCTGGATTGTTCCAATACATTTAGGTCCATCAGTACATCACTGACAGGTACAGCCGGTGTGCAGTTGTAATAAAGTGTAATCAAACAAAATGAAACAAAAAATGGCTCAACCGATCCAGAAGAATCAAAATCTGAGCGTAAATATATATAAAATATAAATATATATAAATACAAATAAAATATATACACATAAAATATATATACACATAAAATATATATACACATAAAATATATATACACATAAAATATATATACACATAAAATATATATACACATAAAATATATATACACATAAAACATATATACACATATAAAACATATATACATATATAAAACATATATACATATATAAAACATATATACATATATAAAACATATATACATATATAAATATATNAAATATTTAAATATATAAATATATAAAACATATATAATATATAAAACATATATAAATATATAAAACATATANAAATATATATAATATATATAAATATATNAAATATATATAAATATATAAAACATATATAAATATATATNAAATATATAATTATATATAAAATATAAAGGATATCCGTGCCACTCACTTCAGTGCACCAGTTTTGTCCGGGAGGTGGAGAAAAACATGATGTTCAGTAAACCAATATTTCCAGCCAGCGCCAAATTTAACTGCCAGAAGCCAACATGGGACAGAAAGGACTGATCAGCACTGAATTACTAATATTCAGAACTGGCGGCTCCACCACCGCAAAGCATCGGGCGAACGAGTGCGCGTCTGCGTTTCAAAGAGAGGACTCTGATCACAACAACAACAACCACCACCGCCACCACCACCGCCGCCGCCGCCGCCACCACCGCCCATGAATCTCGGGGCGGATTTCTCTCGGGTCAATCCCAGGTCCCGCGGTAATCCAGCAGTGTTGCACAGGAGGTGACCGCACCCTTCCCACAAAAAGGTCAAAAAATATATATATATAATAATCCGGGAAACGCAGGGCTGCCGCCTGCAATAAAAATAGCGGCGGGTTTTTTTTTTTGTCCCCCACCCCCCACCACCACCACCACCACCAGAGAGGGAATAAAAACACTAAACTCCTGCTGCATCCGAGCAACAGTGTGTATCACCTCCTCCACAACCACCAGTCAGTCAGTCACAGTCAGTCAGTCACTGAGGGCAGTGTCTGCAGTGAAGGGAACGTGTGCATTATTACATAAACAAAGGCGCCGCCTCCGAAATTCCACCATCGAAAGCACTTTGGAATCTCCCCTCCAACACGCACACAATGTCACATTGTGACGAACTCCCCCGCGAGATTCGGCCCTAAACGCCCCCCTCCCCACCCCCGACCATGTTTAGCTGCTTGTGACACATTGCAAAATGTGCAAGAGAGGTGGAGGTAGGTGGGGGGGGGGGGAATGTCCCAACACCCCCATATTAAGTCTCCTTTTAAAACCCCACCCGAGTGAGTGTGTGTGTGAGAGAGAGAGAGAGAGAGAGGGAAAGAAACTTACCACCTGTGACACTGCTTGAAGCACTCGCTCTATATTTCCACGCAAGTGCGTTGCTGTGCGAATGGTACTGGAGGCGGTCAACTGACTGCACGATTCTCTCAGCCGATCGTATCCGTCAGGAGTATAATGTGGGGCGACTGCTGCTCTGCTCTCCGTTTTAAGTTTTTTTCTCTCTCTCTCTCTCTCTTGTAAACAAATGAGCGCAATTGGAATGCAAAGCGCTGCATAATTCATAGTTTCTGAAGAAAAACGCGTTTGCAAGTTCTCGGGTTACCAGCCTAGAAAACTGGTACAATGGTATTTTATGCAAAGTTTTCTGCAGACAAGAACCTATCGTATACCGAACAGATTTAATGGGCAGAAAACTCCATAACAAACTCCCGAATCTGCAAAGTTTGGGATTTGTGGCTACCGTTTGCTCCCAGTAACTTTCTCCTATTAGTCATAGGAATTACAATGTCTGCTGCACGTTTAGAGCTGGTCAGAACCCAAGGCTTCTTCTGCAGACTAATGCGGTTTTTGCATTACTTCAACCTACTTCGAAGCACAAAAGGTTCGCCAGAAATCTCCAGTACACCCATTTTGTTTTTTTTAAAAAAAAACGAGTTTATTTTTCTAAACCTTTATCGGTTTCTCCCCGAATTCCTGCCCCTTTCACAGTAAATATCCCATTATATCGATGGGCCACACGGCAGATGTCTTGACTCTTTTCAAGCTGTAACAAGGGGACGAATATCGATCAACTATATTTCTAGCATATCCTCTCCCCTTCTGAATTGCTCCCCTCGTTTGCATCGATACGTTGCTTTTATCCCAATCTCAGGTTTCCTTCCTAAAGTTTGCAAAATTCAGAGGGGGGTGAAACTCGGAAGAAGACCAACCAAACCAAACTGCGACTACTTAAAACTACTGCCCTCTTTTGAAGTTTCGAAATTAAAAGAGCGTGCAATGAATCCGCACTCTCCCCCCCCCCCCCCCGCATTGCAAAGCTCAGATAACTTGCACAGCTCCTTTCTTTTTGCGGGGGGGGGGTTTATCCCCGAAAAAAAACACAAGAGCGGGCCAGACCGACCAAAAGGCTGCAGGAGTCAGGTCTCCGGTGCGCACTATGTGGCAGGAAGCCCGCGGGGCCGAGTGCGCCTGCGCGGTGGGGGGGCCGGGCCGGCCGCTGTGATGAAGCGGGCGAGAGGCTCACTATGTGGCAGGAGCCGCCCGGGGCCCAGGTCCCCGCTCACCCCCTCGGGGGGGGCGGCTCCTTAACCTCTCCCCCACCGCCGCCGCCACCGGAGGCTGCAGCTGCAAAAACAACAAAAAAAAAGCACCGAGCACCGACTGCATTGCTCCGGCCCCGAGTTTACCTTTGCACGTGAGGAGGCTGCAGCTCGGACGGCTCCATGTCGCCAGGGGATCCTATGGGTGCAGAGAGCTGAGCATGGCTGTGGCTGTGTGTGTGTGTGGGGGGGGGTTTCTCTTGGATGTCCCGAGTCAACTTTCTTTTCTCTCTTCTTTCTTTCTTTCTTTCTCTCTCTTTCTTTCTTTCTTTCTCTCTCTCGCGTCTCTTCCCCTCACCTCCCCCCAAAACTAACCGTGCGGGCGAGGCGGCCGCTGCTGCTGCTGCTTCAGCTCAGCTCAGCTCGGTGTTGCTGCTGCTGCTGCTGCCGCCATCTTGCGACCGGTATGTGGTAACCAGGGGCAACCTCCTCCCCACACACCCCCCCCCACCTCCCTCCCGGGGCTCTGCCAGACATTACACTCGACTTGTAGCCCAAAGGCCACCCAGAAACAGCCCAAGAGTAGCCCCAATGCTATTGCCTGGGCCTCCTTCTGGGGCTGCTGACGGGAGTGATTTGGTAAATAGTGCTTCGGTAATAATAATGATAATAATAATAATAATAATAATAATAATAATAATCACCGTTGCATTCGATATCACCGAAGCAGTGCGCAACCCACGCATCCGGTTCGACACCCCCCCCCACCCCAGGACCGCCGTCCTCCGCCACTGACCGTACCTCACCCCCAAATGCAGCCGAAAGCCTCGTGCGCGCTCTTGTCACCTCCCGCTTGGATTACTCAAACGCACTCCCCCGCTGCTCACAAGCTCCAGCTCGTTCAGAACTCCGCTGCCCAAACCAAACTCCGTCCCCACATCTCACCCGTTCTGGCCGGGCTCCGCTGGCTCCCCATCACCGAACGGATCGAGTTCAGGATCCTCACACTTGTGTTCAAGTCCCTTCACTCTTTGGCACCTCCCTACCTCTCCGACCTCCTCACTCCCCAATCCACCACCCAGCACCTCCGCTCGACTGGCACCGACCTCCTGCTCGTCCCTCGCACCCGCCGCCCCACCATTGAAGGTCGCACTTTTAACCACTATGCCCCAAAACTGGAACACTCTCACTCAATCCCTCTGCCTTGCCCCCTTTCTCCCCTTTTTCAAGTCCCGCCTGAAAATCTTACTCTTCCACCATGCTTATAGCTACCTCCGCCCCGCTCCCCTCCACCCCCAGCTTGGATTGCTTTTTAAAGCAAACTGTAAAAGAAAGTCTTCAAAGGGGTAAAAACCCAAACGTTTTGCAAGTTTTATTTTTGTCACGCTCCTATGGGTAGCAGAGGGATCTAGTGCTTTTCGAACTGTAAGTAGAGGGCTTCAAAGAATGGGAGAGGGGGAAACGTATTTTGCAGGTTTAAATTAAAACAAAATAATTTTTTCAAAATGATGCACCGGCCCCAAATCTGTTTTCTTTTACACATGCAGTAACAAAACCAAAAAATAAACACAGCTCAATTTGGGCTTGAGGTGGTCCCAATTTGGCAGCACCCTCCACCCACTGCACTCTAGTAAATGCTGTCAGATTGGGCGGCTTCACATGTTTTATGTTACGCTGCACTGAAAAACACATTTTGGGTAGTTGCCTAATTTTTTAATTTTTAAATGAAACCTGCAATACTTTTATTTCTTTTTTGGGGGGAGCCGGGCGTCTGACACACGGAAACCCATCCCCAGTGCTTAAGGGTATCCAAACTGAGATTTCCATGGATCCCACCTACACATTTTTATTCTCTACCCTCCTCCCCTTTCAAAATCTTTTCTTACCTAGTTTCCAAAGAACTAACTTAAATTGTTCACTAGGTACCCACAAGTAGGCGATGCATAATATTGGGCTACTTTGGGGCTAGTATTTGGTGCACATTGGGCTACAAATATATTTTAATTTCTGGCAACCCTACCCAGGCATTTCATTCAAAGAAATCTACTGCACATAAAAAAATAGAAAAATGACAGTTTGGCCATCGAGTCTGCAGCAGCTCACAGATCAATGAATTCACCTCAGTTCCACCACACTGTTTTATCTATACCCCTTTAAGCCCCCTTTAACATTTTCTTATCACTGCAGCATTGGTCAAGTACTTTGAAACATTCTTTTATACAAAAGGCACTGCACTAAAATCCCAGCTAGCAGGACTAATAGTGGGTGGGGGGAGAAAATCCGATCCAGTGAATTGGAATTTCCAGCTAAGTGTAATTACTATTGGTAATGCATTTTTTTTGCGCGTGAATACAATGTATGGTAAACTTAGCTATCTTCTGCTCACTCACCAGAGCACGGCTACATGCAGACATGATTATTCTTTAAGGAAAAATCCTTGCATTTGATACATTACTAAAGAGGAAGGTACTGCAAGCAATCAGCCTGAAATTGTATTGTGCTTAAATGGTGGGTCCAAAGTTTATATCTTTATCTGTTATCTTTTTGTGTAACTTGTATTAGATACTTGGAAATGGAGAGTGGGAATAATTATGCAAATGCATTTGTTATCAACCAAATTAAATTGAGAAAGTAAACACAGAACAGCACTTTCAGATACACCAAGGCAACAGAACAAGAGGGCACAAGTTCAGGGTTGTGAAAGTCAATTTGGGACAGCATTTCTTTACCCAGAGAGTAAGTAACAGCTAGGACCAATTTCTAGGAATACATCAAAAAGAGATAAACTGCAACATTTCTCTAATCAGGGTTAAAATGGAGATTTGTCTGCAAATGCCCTTTCAACCTCAAGCTAGTTGAAAGTGCAAGTTTTGTATGGGAGGAAGAATCAGCAATGTGAAAAGCAACAACAACAACACAACAAAATTACATTTGTAAAGCACCTTTCATGTCGGGAGGACATCCCAAGGCGCTGGACAGTCAGTATTTCGGACCCGAGCTGGAGGTCGGGGTCAGGAAGGTGGAGGCGGGGGAAGCAGGGAGATCGAAAGTACAGTCAAAGAGGAAGGTCTTGAGATGGGTCTTGAAAGTGGCAAGGGAGGGGGGCAAAGCAGAGGGACTAGAGGTTCCAGAGGGTGAGGACAGAATGGCAGAAGGCCCGCCCACCAACAGTGGGGTGAGTGAGGCAGGGGAAGGTGAAGCAGGCCGGAGCCCGCTGTGCGGAGGGAATGAGCTCGATGATAGGGGGTTAGGAGGTTGCAGAGGTAGGGGAGCAAGACCATGGAGGGCTTTGAAGGTGAGGCCAGGCTTTGAACTGTATCCTCTGTGAGATGGGAAGCCAGTGGAGTTGGGCAAGGATGGGGGTGATAGGGTCATGGAACCTGGTGCGGGAGAGGACACGGGCTTCAGAGTTCTGCATGATCTGCAGCCTATGGAGGGAGGAGTTGGGGAGGCCGACAAGCAATGAGTTTGCAGAGTCAAGCCTCGATGTAATGTATGAGGATTTCAATGGCCTGCAGAGTGAGACAGTGGCAGACCCAGGCAATGTTGGGGAGGTGGAGGAAGTCAGAGCAGGTCATGGCGCAGATGTAGGGTAGAAAGGATAGTTGAGGGTCAAACAAGACCCAAGGTTCTGAACTGTCTTAGCAAGGTGGAATGTGCAACCATGGATGGCGATGCTGTCAGTGCCCGAGATGAGGAGGCGCTGACGGGAACCAATCAGGAGAGCCTCGGTGGTCTTGTTGACGTTCAACTGGAGAAAATTAGCTCTCTTCCAGGACTTGATGTCTGACAGACATTCTGTCAGTACAGCAGCGGTCCTGGAGTCAAGGGTGGAGGTAGAGAGGTAGAGTTGGGTGTCATCTGCATACATGTGGAAGTTGACCCTATGTCTACGGATGATATCACCAAGAGAGAGTATCTAGATATTGAAGAGGAGGGGACCAAGGACAGAGCCCTGAGGAACAGGGGGCTCGAGGGGAAACCGTTTGTGGAAATGAAATGGAGGCGGTGTGAGAGGCACGATCTGAACCAGTCAAGGACAGAGCCGTGAAGGTTGAGGTGAGAGGATAGGCGGTGGATGAGGATAGAGTGGTCGACGGTGTCAAAAGCAGCAGAGAGGTCAAGGAGGATGAGGAGGCAAAGGGAACCCTGGTCACAGATGGACAGAATGTCATTTGTCACTTTGACCAGGGCTGTTTGGGGATGAGAAGCACTTTTGGGATGAAACGTTGTTGGTCGTTAAAATTGCTCTTTTAACAGAATTCTCCCAGTATGAGCACAACACTGAGGTCAGTAATATTACCTACAAGCAAAATGTTACCTTTATTGTGTTAACTGACAAGCAACAGTGATGTGGGCTCCATTTACTTATGTCTGGCTTGTAGCTGCCCAAAGTTCCATTTAACCTGTGAATCCATTCTATCTCAAAGTATAAATTGCATCCGATTGTGGATTTGTTTATAATTTGAGCACAATTTGGAAGCTGCTTACTGAACTGTGGAAAATCATTTCCCAAATTGAGACTGAATATAAGAATTTTCCACAAGTCTGCATTAATTCATATTAATGTAATAATATAATGTAATTTGGAGGCAAGGAAAATACCATGCAGCTTGAATGACAGGAATATCAGCACAGGAAGTGACCATTTAAACTCATTGTCCATATCTCGTGCTTGCTCCTCTAATGCACCTATCTGTTGTAATCCCATTCTGTCGCTCTTTTTCTATATCCTTTTATATTTTGTTATTTTGTAAGCATCTAATTCCCATTTTAATGGCATAATCGACTCTGTGGCAATGTGATCCACACTATAATAACCCTTTGTGCAAAAATGTCAACTGCTTAAATTAGGCAACAATAAACTGTAGTCTGGTGACTTAGTTGACACTTTCCTGATCTGTATTTGCACACAAGGCTTCATTTTGGGTAAAAAGAGGAAGATTTAATAGCTCAAAGAAAATCTGGATAAAAATCTGTATGTTTGCCTTATTGCTACATTGGTATTATGGCCTTGTATGTTTGTTTTTGCATAACATTTTAATTTATCGCTGTCTAGAAGTGGACTTAAATGGCAAGCTACGGACTGAACAGCCTTTTCTTACCTACTATAACTAACCCTCCTGGTGTACCTATAAAATCCCTGGAAAGGCTTCTTTTTATGTAGTTTCCAGTCATAAATCAGAAGCAACTCCTCCAAATCATAATTATCTTTTGCAAAGAGATGCTACAATTAAAAAATGACGACTCCTAACAGTGACACGTGCCCCCATTGCCTCTACCAGCCATACCTCAGCAGCAGTACAGGACTTTGTAATGTGCAATGGGAGATATGCAGGCTCTCTGGTAGATTAGGGGGATAGTATGTGTATTAGTACCAATCTTCTCTTGCTGTGTTAATTGATATAGCAATGGAAAGTAGCGCTGAGGAAAGGTTAAGTGATGAAGAGATTGTACAACTAAATGCAATAGAGAAATACTTTCCATACTGTCAAATACAGAAGC